CAACATGACAGGGCAAGTCCAACATGACGGCAAGTCCAACATGACAGGGCAAGTCCAACATGACGGCAAGTCCAACATGACAGGGCAAGTCCAACATGACAGGGCAAGTTAACCATGACAGGGCAATCCAACATGACAGGGAAAGTCCAACATGACAGGGCAAGTCCAATTAAAGGCTAGGTTCACAGGTCAGATTGAGTTTATAAATGATCATTAAACACTAACTTTTCTGTTAGTCACTAATAAATAATATCGTTACCTTTAATAAATGATTATTGATTATCTATATCAGGGGGTCACCAAAGTGGTGCCCCCGGCCACCAAGGGGCCCTCAAGGACCACATGGGGTTCCCTCAGTCTTCTGTAAATGGATCATTTTATGGAAAGTGTTAAAATTGGACCTTTGAATTTAGAGGTTTTTGATCATAACCTTTTTTCTTTAGTTTAATAGCCTATATAACATGTTACACTTGCAATAAAACATATTTTTCAAGCTCAGCCACCCTTTCTGACAGTATTTTAGCACATTTTATCCAGTTTTTTTTCCCACACCATCACAGGACAAAGGTTAACAATTTCAACACTAAATTTAGATAAAAGTAAGACTACCAAGAGTTAGTTTAAAGTGTTTTTTAATGTTATTTTCATTTTATGTACATCATTCATAAACAAATGTAATATGCAAGTGATCTTACTTTCTTTGCTAGAATGTTTTTTTATATTTTATTATTTTTTCATAGATTTTTAAAAATAATTTCTAGAGCATTTCAAAATAGATGAAATATTTATAAAATTATAAATTAAAAGAAATAATAAAAATATATATGATGTATGAAGTTTAGAATGCTGACCTTTGCAGTGCATGGGTCAGTATTGGTAGCCCTTCCTACGATTCAGTGCCTTGGAAGTGGCCCTCAAAAAGGTGGCTGACCCCTGATCTACAGTGTAAGTATAAATACATGGAAGAAAATAAGGGCTCCTTAATATAAGACACCTAGAGAAATACTACGGTGGCCCTGAAGTGCAAACTGCAACTACAAATCTAAAAGCGCAACTACATTAAGGAAAACACAAT